CGACAAAATGAGCTACCTCTATCGCAAACCTATCTCCTCCCTGGTTTTGAAACTTTATGAAAAAAAGCGATGCATACTTTTATTCGCCTTTAAATGCTGATTCGAATGGCGTATGACGATCGGAGAAAAGTTTCAAAACCAGGGAGGAGATAGGTTTGCGATAGAGGTAGCTCATTTTGTCGAGGGCTTACTCTTGTCAAAATTGTACAACAGGTATTTTGTTTTTTGTGACTCAAAGGTACACGAGTAGACCCAGTTTTTGATGATGAAATATCAAATTATAATATTCATAAAGTGGCAATAGCTCCTAATTGACATTTCTGTGGCAATAGCTGCTTGCTGCCACGTCCGGAAGTTAGCTGAGCTAGCTTCTAGTTGACACTTTGAAAAGGTGACATTAGCTCCTTAATGACACTTCTGTCATTAACGATAATATGAAAACACTAAAAGAAAAGGAATTTTCAATTGAGTAGCTTGATGTTCGAAATGTTAAACGCAGGAAAGGAAACGAAGAAATCAAATGACATTTAAAATTAAAAAGACTGAAGAGTGAAAGTATGATATCTTAATCTCTTTAAAAGTTGTTCTTTCTACGTTTGATCAAGATGATGATATCATTTTGTCTATTTAACCTAAATTCAAGCAATTGAGCTATTGATAAAAACAAGTCGCGATTTCGCATCCTAACGTTTGAAATATTAAATCTCAGCTTATTTTTATTTTTACCGAAGGCTCAGAAATTTATTCGTACTAGCATAATTGGATGAGGAAAATTAATAATAATTTTGACGCTGATAAATAACGAAAGTGTTATGGCTGCTAAATAATGCTGGATTGTGCCACTTAGATGACTTTTAGGACGATTTTTTCCACAGTATGTCGCTCTGTACGCGATAAGTCGAATATCTTGAGATTGTTTAAGGAAGTGACTCAGTTCATCTGATAACAATTGTTTTGGTTTAGTTAACTAAAGTCTTTTAAATCTCTGGGTATCAATTATCACCATCTATATACCATAGAGTAAAAACTTCTCTATTCCACTGTTTCTTTTCGCTCGACGAATCCTAAATTTGAATTAGTTTATATCAGTGTATGTATATTGAAAATGAAATGTGCAGATGAAAAGTTAATTGATTTCGTTCGTTCAACAATATTTATATAAGTTAGATATTTCAACCCGTTGGATTAGTTCCAATGTCGTTTATTCGTGTCCAAAGATGCACAAATACAATTACATAATGTAAAGTGGAATGAATTCAAACGCGAATATAGTGTCAAGCAGAGAGGCGGCATCTGTATTCAATTGATTGCTCATCACTCAACAAAAGTCAGGCTATGACAATAGCCATCAATCAAATACACTTGCAACATCATTTCATACAGCATTATAAAATTGGGTCGTTTTGTCTAAAACTTTTCTTTTTTAACAAAAAACGACAAGAATAAATATAAAAAGCCCTCGACGGATGAACATAGCAAAGCACTGACAATTGTAGCAATCTTGCTTCACTGCAAAACTGCGGCAGCCACTAAGAAATGGAATTGGAACCTATACTTCTCTGCATGATTGCAGTACCTAATTCGATTATTGCGTATTTCCAACAATCAAATTTGAAGTAAGTTTACAACTTTTGTATTTATAAGTTGCAAAATAAAAAGAGTTTCAAAGTGTCCGTAAATAACATAGGTTGCCTTTGTAAACACTAGATAATACGAAAGATAAGTACAGGTATATGGTATATTAACGGTAGAAGAAACTGACAGCTCAAATGTTGTCTTACTTTATATCCTTTTGTGTAGTTCTGTTTGTGCTGAATTCTAGTTCTTCACAAGTCAGCCAAAAACATCGTCCAACAGTTGGGGTCATCCGCTGGGATGCTTGGAATTTGTTCAATGGTGATTATGATCCCATCTCCTTTTATCTGCATCGAGCTCTTAGTCCTGAAATATTTCATTATCGACTACCATTTTACGCAACGATTAACTCGCCTACAAATATTTCTTTTAACGGAGATCTTCAGGACGTCATGGATCAAGAACTTGTTTACGCCGCACATGCGGGCCTAGATTATTGGGCCTTTGATACTTATTGTACATTTGGACCAAATTGTACTACTAATTCGTCATTTTGCAGTCAATATTATCAACAGACTTCAAATATCTACTGTCCTCGAAATCCTGCTTACGGATTGAATCAATATCTTTCGAGCAAATATAATTCTCTTATGAAATTTACTCTTCTTTTATTAGGATCTCCTCCTTGTGATCCTACTTTTCAAGAGAGATATCTTGATCTCATGCAGCATCCTCAATTCCAAACTGTTTTAGAGGGTCGCCCACTACTGTATTTATTTCAATTCAGCGATGCTGAAGCTAACGCCTGTGGAGGTGGATGGTCTGGTAGCGGGGAAGTATTTCATAAGTTTCGACAGTTGGCCATTAATCGAGGTAAGATAGAAATGTTGATAATCGAGTCATGATTAGACATGAATCAAGATCGAGGAATTGAGATTCTTATTGCGAGGAAATCAGTCTCCGTATTTATCAAGTGCTGCTTTTTAAAGATATCGGTTGTTTTACATTTGCTGCCTTCGTAGGAACAGCAAAAACATGCTTTTCCGGGTGCGAAAACTGAAAATGTGATTTATATGTAAAAGCTTGTATATGTGAAACGGCAGTATCGGGTCTCTTGAAAAACAAACACTGAGAATCGGATTTGATTCATACCTAATCATGATAATTGAAAATATATATCACCTACTTGCTAATGTTGTTCTTTTTGACCATAGGATTACAGAATCCATATATGGTTCTGATGGATTTCGACGTCGGTACGGTTCAGTCTCATGCCGCGATCCTCGGATTCGATGCAATCTCAACATATGCATTACCTGGTGGAACCATTGAGGTAGACACATTACTCTTCAACATAATTCATTCAATTCATGTTAAATTTTTCTTATTCTGCAGGGTACTCCGTTCACCGCTCTGCTTGATTCAGCTCAAGAGTAAGCCTTGCTGGTTTCTCGAGTTATTGTAACTGACTTATATTTAAAATAGGTGGTGGCAGTCTGCTGAACGAATCGGATCTAAAATGGTGCCGATTGCTCCTACAGGTTGGGATCCTCGGCCGCGGGCGCAAAATCCTGTTCCATGGGTCATCGAAGGACCAGAACATTATTTCCAGGCAACAGGTAAAGAAGTACAAGAACTAATTCAAAGAGCGGTCAACTTTACATGTAAATATAATGACACTGCCGAAGCACAGACAATAATCTTCTATGCATGGAATGAGTCGAGCGAAAATGGTGCCTCTCTTATCCCCTCCATCGGAAACGGAAGTCTTTATGTCGATGCTCTATCAGATGTTCTTCCAATGTATTGTTAGATACGACTTCGTTTGAATTTCCGACAAAAATCGAATTCGTCGTCCACGTTTGTATTTTTATCTATCTTAACTTACTTTTTATATTTATTCTTGTCGTTTTTTGTTAAAAAGGAAAAGTTTTAGACAAAACAAGAACGATTATTAGTTATAGCAAAAAAAGCCTTTAATCACTTATGCTAACTGAGTTACAGAATTTCTGCTGTTTTCAGCCATTACAGCACAAAAAAACCGAAAAAATTCGATAACTGTTGAAAGAAGCACTATGGGGAAAACTTCTTTTAGGGATTTTACTCGCTCACTATACTCTATCGATCGGTGTATACTTACACTAACATTCTTATTATGCAACATACATAAATATGAATCGAAACGCAAATACTGTTGTGCGATATGAACTAACAGATCAGTAAGCTTTTGTGAATATCAGAACGTATTTACCGATTGAATCATTTCTGACGGATAAGTGGCCAACTTTTTTCCATGACGGCTTTTCAAATATTGCTCAGAGATCAATTTTGGTGTCAGCATCAGGACTTTGCAGACAGAGTTTAATTTTACAAGTTCTTGACAATAAGAGATAAACTTTTTCTAACCACATATTGGCTAAATATAAATTGAATTGCATAATATACAAGAATACATAAATATTTTAAACGTTTACCCAAAACGCTTAATCATGTATTTAAAATGGCACGAGTCTATATCCTGTGCTAAATGAGTTAAATTAGGTAGATCGGACAAATACAGTCGTCTAATCAAAAGCGTTGAGTGTCGGGTAGTTGATGGCAGTTGTTTGAAAAATGCTAACGAACTATATATCGGTGTACATTTGCAACTTTTTACTTTACAGAACAGTCAACATGATCTCATGGGTTTTTCTTCTTTCTTTTTGATTTGTTCATACTTCTTTTAGTTATAGTACTTTTTTTCTTCTTCTCTTCATTACATAATATAATAAAGCTTATATCAACCATAGTAAAAGTGATTGTCAAATATTAGCTGTTCGAGCGAAGTTGATCGGAGATGATTATAATTATATGAATGGATGCACGGAATTACTAGCATATGCAACCATTTTAGTTTCGATATAACGGCGTGTTGGATTCTTGAGAGGCTAAGACATATTTTTACATGATATAAATTTTATCTGTAATACAAAAAAAGTATTTGTCGGATTACTTTGAGCTAAACAATGAAGATCAGAATATTTGAGTTTTATTTACAGGTTCGCATTTTCTTTTCTGTTTCTAATTTAATATACATTCTTTACTGACAATGACTTATTATGCAAAGATCATATATACCTGTAACTGAAATCTGCATGGTTACAACCTTCAGAGTGAGTTGAATGAGGACTAACTGATTATCACTATCTGTTCTCTTGATTGGCAAACGTCTTATTTGCGAACATTACCTTGATGATCTATTCGCGTGATGAAGCGATAAGTATGTTTGCTTTCTGCTTCCTGCATCAAGAACAGTGCATTCGATTGAATATAAAATTTAACCTACAGTTTCAAACATAATACTGACTAGAGAGAAACGGTGAAGTTAACATAATACAAGTGTAGATACTAGAAAAATAGCTGAACAGAGCCGAGATCTTACTAATGATAACTAAAATTGAGAAAATTGCTATATTATGTTCGCTTTCGTTTTTTTTAAAGATAGAAATGTTCGAACAGTATAAGTTCACCATTTATTATTGACAGTCTGTAATAATTATCACACCGTGTTGTTTAACTATTTGGATAATCTGTTTAACAGACCATCATCAACAAATTCTTTGACGGAACTTGTTATCGATCATAGAGATTATATTCATTTTGGAAAAAATACTTGGCTCGATGTGCGAGCATTCCAATATTGTCAGCGGATTTTAACAGACTTTTTTGTAGTTGTAGTAGTTATGATTCTACACCTGTTGACGATTGTCGGATGAACATCTGAGTCGACGTTCGCGCTAGGATAAATAATCAAAATACTATCGTAGCAGTTTTTATTGGCGCCTCTCAGAGGATTAGATTAGTTGACGATATGAGCGAAGATTGGACACTTCAAAGAGGAAAAATTGTCGCTGTTTGAGCGAACTGTACCAATTTGTTCGTCGATTCAAGTTAGAAAAGTTCGCGTTAACGAAGAAAGTCATTAATACAAATATCGTGTCCTTAGATTTCGTTAACTAAACTCTTAGAAAAAGAGCTTTTTGTAGTTCGACAAATAAATAAGATGGAAGAAAACTTTAGAGGCGTCATCAAGGAGCTATTGCCACCTTCAGAAGGTGTCAGTAACGGCTATTATCACCTTGAGTACAAGAAGTTCCACTAAGGACAAGATTGAATCTCTACGATCGAAGCTGAAAAGTATTAAGTTGTATTTTATTTCAGTTTTTGAGCGTTTTCATATTCAAAATTCGATTTCTGAGATGGGAAATTTTTTATCTTCTCATGATTTTCTTTATTTAGCACGTATTTAATCATTGAAAACTTTAATTTCAATTAGGAGAAATGTTCAAACTGTAGTTTTAACAGATGAGGAGATCAGCAAAAAGGAATATTTATATTGAAGGAAATTTGTATTGAACTCAAGATACACCATTCGATAGAGCTCTTCAAGCTGAATCCGAATATGTGATTTTTAATTTTTCCAAATGCTTTTTTCATGTAGAAAATCGAAAAATCGTGCCCTTCATCAAAATTAACTTTTTCGAACTTATGTTACAACATGCAATAGTCAAACTAGTTTTTTCTGATTCAGCATCGAAAACTGAACTAGAAAATGCTGTTACACACAGTTCAGAAGTAAGCACTCGTCCTCCACGGACGTCCGAATGGACAGGTGCTAAAAAGGTATGAGTCGTTTTTTAACCTCATCTAGTTTTCTGTGTGGAGGACTGGAACTACGATTCATGCATCATCGTATCCGCCTTTTTTAAAAATTTCTTTTGCTTGCTGAGAAAGGTAGACTTTAGTGGGAAAAATCGAAATTCTGACTCTAATTCGCAATTGTCTCCATCAGAACTCAACTTTCACTTAATGAAAATATCATATTTAGAATCAGCGTCACAAATCGAGTCAAATGATGTACTTTTTTTTACCGTATTCGATCACTGTAATTTTTGCGTCGAAGAATTACTGAGATTTTCATCAAAAAATGAAAATGAACGAAAAATTTTGAAATACGTATCATTCGACTCAAGTTTTGAAAATTTATCAAATTTTCAGCTGTCAAAGCTATCAAATTTATTTAAAGGGTTTACAGACTATTTTAAATACACGTCCAAGAATTACTTTATTCGGTTTATTTGCATCATTCTTACCGAGACGTCTCAATGAAAATTTATCCAGTTCAACCAATTTGATATTCCATAGTTATGAATTAAAATATAGTCATTTTGATTATACTGTTTGACTTTTGAAACATTTCGAATCCAAATATGCTGGAAATCTAGGAAACGAAACAAGATAGCTTGCAAACAGAGTGTATTCATGTCACCCTGTAAATACTGTTGCATTTAGCCTTAACGCATTCACATGTGCAAAACTTCGTAAAAGGTGGATAGTATTGTAATTGTTATACAGTTTAACCGACGAGATCTTCAAGAAAAGTATAGTCGATTAATCGTATGTTACGTTTTATAGTACTGCGCTCCATCTATTCTGCGACTAAGAATGAATTAACAAAAAATGTTCAGCAAATTCGGCAACTAGAAAGTCGTTAACAATCGTTTTTGTTAAGTGACAGCTGTTGAAGATTTAAATGACGAACGTTTATGATCCGATAAATTAAGCAACGATGAAATAAAAATAAGGTACCCACGCTCATTTCCAGAATCATCTTCATTAGTCATTCAAAAATTCCATATTCAAGCATCAAGTTTATGAAATAAACAGTCATGCAAGATCTTACTGAACACGCTAGTAAACTTAATAAAAGATTCAAATGTAAGTTGGTTTAGTACCAAAACTTCCGCAACTTGAGTTGTAAGTGAAATTACCCTTCCAGTCAATCTCAATCATACTCATTCCAACAAAATAAACTTGAACGCTTTCTCATAGAGTTTTCCTATATTGTTCAGCGGATCCTTCCGATGAAATCTCATATTTACTGCTGATAAATCGCTTATTCCATGAAATATAGTTTTCCATTGGTTATTTGTTGTACAACAGGTTTTAAAAGAATTCTAGAAACTAGAAATCCTGAGATAAAGGTCAGAAAGCTCCTGTTTTAAAAAATACGACGTCATCGTTGAAGACATGACGTCAAAAAAATTATATGATCAATTATATAATACAATTATTTGCATATTACTTTAACACATGACAGTGTATTTTGAGAAATACCATCATCTTTTCTTTTTAAATATGACGTTATACTTCGAACAATGGTCATTTTCTGCGCATAATGTTTATTTATATTTCAAAAAAAGGTACTTTTCGTTCTTTTGCTCGCGTATAGGAAAGGTTTGTTTGTTTTCTCTCGATATATATGACGATTCACTTTCTAATAAGTACGATAAGTCCAGATAGTCACTTTTACAAGTGTCAAGAGTCAAAAGAAATAAAAGGAAATAGAATCGCCGCAATTTATTTTCTCTAATTCTGTAATTCGTCAATCGCCGTATATAGAAAGCAAAGAAAAAATGCTTACCTTTACCGATATACTACTTGACCTGTACTAAAAGTTCGCAGATTTCTATAACATCTTGGAAAATCCATTTACCGAAAAATTCTTTTCCTTAGCGAGATAGATAGAGTAGATAATTATCAAAATGAGACCTCTCCTAGTTCTCTACAATCCTTCGTTCCAAAGATACATCATGTGCAAAAATATTGTTTTACTACGTTAAAAGACTGTTTGCCAAACAACACTAAGTTAGAAGTGTAGCAAAATCTGAAAGGAGAATATTGCTCCTGCTTTCTCTGCAAGATGGCAAAACTTTTATTGAAAAAAAGTTATATACGATATGTTTAAGGCTGTGTTGAACGAAATCGTTATAG